CCGGCCTTGGAGGCTCCTCCTCCGCCCGCTCGCCTGGCGCTGGTGGCCCGGGACGTGCATCGCTGGGGAAAGTTAAAGTTACTTTTTGTTTTTCACTTTTGAGTTCCCAGGATTCGGTCCTAAACGTCCGAGGTGCAATTCCAGTCTGGGGTTAATTACTACTTTGGCTTAGGAACCTCCATTTGGCTTCTAGTCTGAACTAGGCAAATGCACAATCTGTGCAGAGAAGGACTAAGTTACACTCAGGAGCGCTCGGTGCTTCCCTCTCCATTCGTCAGGGTCTCCGTTCCTCCAGCAGCGGCCCGCCTGCCCCGCCCGGGCTTAGAACGGCTGCCCCTCCAGATTCACATGGCAGACCTGGGACAGAAAACAGACCGGGTGACACAGGCCGCGTGCAGGCCCGAGGGGGGAGCACCCGCCAAAGGTTTGTCACCCCTTTAGGGAAAGCGCTGTCCCGGGCAGAGTGGGGAGGAAGCAGCCCTTTCTCCCACCTGCAAGCCTTACCTGCGGAAGCAGACTCGCTGGGTTAAACTATATGAACTGAAGACTTCCAGAGAGGAACATGGAGTAAAACTCAAATTAAATTAATGGAATAGAGATATATGCATGCTGAAGACCCGTTGGCACTATCCAAAAATTAACAAGGAACCAATACTAGTTCATAAGTCAATATCCACAGAGATGGTTAACATCTAAAAAAATACCGTTAGTAAACTAGCAAACACGCCAGAAAATTATCCTCACTCGCAATGAAAGGAATAAGAAAAGCTCCACAAACACCACTAGAGAACTCTCACTTTAGTAAAATAAAAAACCAAACAAAGCCCTCAGTAGCTTGTCACCTCTAAGCTTACATACCTCTAGCCAAAGAGTGAAAGAAAGTAAGAGTCCTCACCGCTGCCCTGGCCAGTGTGGCTCAGTGGGTAGAGCGTCAGCCTGCGCACCAAAAGGTCCCGGGTTCGATTCCGGTCAAGGGCATGTACCTTGGTTGCAGGTTCCCTGGCCTGGGCCTCGATCAGGGCTCATGCAGGAGGCAACCAATCCATGTGTTTCTCTCACATCGATGTTTCTGTCTTTCCCTCTCTCTTCCACTCTCCCTAAAAATCAATGGGAAAATATCCTCGGGCGAAGATTAACAAAAAACAAAAACAAAACAAACAAACAAAGTCGGCACTGCCCAGCAGGTGCACCTGAGAGAAGAACTCTTAGAGGAAGGGAAGGGATGGCACCGAGTCGGGTTCTGTGTGCGTTATACCATGAAGGCCGGATGACTGAGAGATTTATGCACATTGTTTGGCAAAGTGCCCGCCTCATGTTATGGATGTAAGAATGTCCAAACCTGAGAGAAGCTTTATAAAAATGTGTTTGAGCCAACAGAAGATACAACTGGAAGCAAGATCTCAACAGACTTGGAAAAATGCTTCCAGCCCTCCCAGCTTTTAGACTACCAATGTGTAGGCTGGCCCTGGGTGAGCAATATGCCAATGAGTCAGAGTCAGCTGGGAAGCCACATTGGCTGGGATTGGCCCAGCCTCAGAGAGGGCGCTGAGGGTCCCTAACGGGCAGTAGAACTGGGGCCACAACCAGGACACTAACATTGGGTAAAGAAATGCAGGTGGGGTTCCCACATATGGGGAGGCATAAGGATGGGGCAATCACCCTACGGGGTCAGCGAGCGTGTGTCCACGCCAAGAGAGTTGGAAAGAAAAGCGGCATCATGAGGGCCCCGTGTGCAAAGCCCTGATGTCACACTTAGGGTCCCACAGACCTGCCAGTGGGCTCTGGCAGACATGACCTGAAAGTGTCTGAAAACATCCCAGGCGGATACAGTCATGTTGAGCTAACCAGGCTCCTGTGGTGGCCTCAAGCTGCTGCTGACAGTTTGGAGCCAAGTCCAAGAAGGTGGCACTCAAGATCCAACTGGAGATAGCTTTCATGGAGACAGAAAGACAGCTCTGGAGTGAGTTGGCCAGGAGATGCCTGCCAACCCTGCCTGGTCTGCAACAGTGCTGGCTGCTGGTGAGAACTCTGGGGTGAGTCAGGCTGGACAAGGAGTTGGGGGGACTGAAGACCAAAGGTGAGGCAGGGCCAGAACCTCAGAGGTGGCTCCCGTATGAGATGAGGCTGAGAACAGGATTTGTCATAACAAGGCCGTGCTCAGTGTCTTGGGCCAGGAGGCTGCAGGCAGGATGCATGGTGGCTTCGTGGTGGAGGGGGTCTCCTGCCTACTCAGCACCAGCACAGCCGGGATGGCCGCCTCCTCAGCTCCGGGGTCTAGGAGCATCGGGCCTGGCTGGGAAGGAGTGGTGGCCATAAGCAGTGCCGGCTACAGAGTGGAAGGCGATGAAATAGGCCGGGTGCAGCAGCCTCAGCACTGCCCACAGAAGTTATGCCACCAGCGTCCCCTCCTGTTACCCACGCTGCTGAGGAAGGGCCAGAAACCCACTAAACTTGGAGGAAACGAGGGGCCAGGAAGACATCCTTCCCCCAGGAAGGTAGGACCCAAATTCTTTCCCTGGAACTCAAGTGCCGAAGGCAGACAGGAGCTGAGCCCGACCCTGAGCCACGCTGCCCTTTCTGAGCCGCGTTCTGTGTGGTGGGACTCCAGCAAGCGGTCTGTGCTGCTGTGAATTGCTGGTATGTGCGGCTTTGCTTTCCTTCAAGATTCTACATTCCCTGAGGGGGAGTTCCGGAATGCTCTTGCGCTCCCAGGCTTGGCCATTGGAACTAGTCTGAAGGATGTGCTCTCCTGAGATAGGAGAAATGGGAAACACCGTCAACTGGGGGAGCTAGTCCTGGTCTTCCTTTCTTACTGTTTTTTTTTTAAGTTAAAAGAAAAATATATGCTCATTAAAAGTGATTTGGAAAGAGAACCAAGAAAACCCTCAAAGTTTTCCAATCGAAAGATTGTTTTCCAAAAATTCAAGCCATGTTCCATTTTGATAAACCCTAACAGGACAGGGAGTGCCACGGAGGGCTCGTTGAGGGGAGGACATAATGATTCTCCATGGTGATTCTCCACAGGATGGGATCTGCCTGGTTCCTTTGGGCGGATCCTTTGGGCAGAGCTATGGATCTCTCACACTTGACCAGAACTTAGCTGTAATCTCAGCCTGAACAGCCCTAAGCTTTGCTGCTTCTTTGGTTCTCCCTCTGGGACTTGTGCTTGCGATCATGCCTCTCAGCCAAACACAGTGAGCTCAAGGGAGGAGACGCCGCTCACGTTTGCCACGGCTCCCTCTCCATGCAACACAGGCCTCTCCTCAGCCTGCCTAGGAGAGGCCTCTGTGCCACTGTCTCCCTGGACCTTCTCCAAGTCTCCTGGGTTCTTGCAGAAGTTGGGTAATCAGACGTGTAGGCAGCATCTTAGGATCAGACAAGCCACAGCTGGAATGTAAGGGTCAGAGAGCCATATTCTGTGCCTTGCTGAACTGGGGACAACCCCAAAGTCAGCATATTTATATCATTGTCCCTCTTCTCTTTGGAGCGCAGGCCCTGATGTATTTAAAAGACTATAAAAGGCAACTAGAGAATGTGTTCAAAGATCTGGAAAATCAGTGTCTCCCCCACCCCCCACCCCCCATTTCATTTGTTGAAGTCCCAACCTCCAGCTCACCCGGCGTAGGGACCCAGCAGGGATCTCAGTGGAAACAGGGTCTTTGCAGATGTGATGAAGATGGAAGTTAAGAAGGGGGCACACTGGAGTGAGGTGGGCCCTTACTCCAATGCGGCCAGTGTCCTTTTCAGAGGAGCAGCACACAGCCAGACACACAGAGGAGAACGCCATGTGAAGACAGACACACGGAGGGCAAACAGTCATGTGACGATGGAGTCGGAGACTAGAGTTACGCAGTTAGAGGCCAAGAAACAGCGAGGACGGCAGGCAGAACCCAGGAGCTCGGGGAGAGAGCACGGCCCTGCTGACACCTTGAATTTGGACTTCTAGCCCCCAGCACTGTGAGAGAATACGTTTCTGTTGGTTGAGCCATTAGTTTATGGTACTTTGTTATGGCAGGCCTAGCAGACTGCTACACAGAGGGAATACAGTGCACCCCACTACTTTGAGGGGGCAGTATAGAAATGAATTGTAAAACCTGAAGTGTATAGCAGTAAACTTTATGACTTGGGTTGTCCTATGTCATAAGTTTATAAAAACGCTTCAAGTTTAAACTATACAGATCTTTCACACATCCCCGAAATTTACCTTGATCGGCTCTGGTAAAAAGAAAAAAATAGCAGTAGCACATTAACTTTCCCAAATTAAGTTGGCTATTCCCTAACTTTAAATGTCAGGATGTAAATGTCAGCAGGCTCATTGCCGAGTCCCCTCCCCAACCCAAAGCCCGCAGGAAGAAAATGCCAATCTCCCTGATCAAAACGACCGGGCTGTCTAGCAGAAATACATCACACATGGTTAATAGTTAATCTAGGGCTTATCTCCTGGCAACTACACATCAAGAAGAAGACCATTTAGGAAAATGAAATTACATTCAACCCTACTTTCTAAAGGTTGTATCAAAAGAAACTTTATCTCAGCTTTTTATAGGATTAGTCAATAAGCTCCAATCTATCGATCCTAATGAAAATTTAGGGGGGAAACTCTTGAATCACAGGAAGCATCTGCCTCCTTTAAATCTCAGCGTAAGTCACTGCTCTCACCTACTAAGGTGAGGCAGGTCCTGGGCTCTCTGTTGTCCCTAATGAAATGGAGAGTAACAAAGCCATCATGGTTAATAAAAATTACTAGTAATAAAACTTTGCTCAACTGTGACATATCAAGGCATCATGGTATTTGCCAACTTTTATAAACAACCAGAATATTAGAAGGCCAGAGTTGGAAGGATGTAGAGTGTGGGTCTGGGCCTCTAGGTCCCTCCTGCCCCTCTCAGAAGGCCAGAGCCCCATGCTGAAAACATACTGCACAAATGAAGCAGGTGTCGTGCCAGGTATGACCCAGGGCCTCGATGAACTTGTCACCAGCCTCCACAGGGAAATCGCAGCCGTGGCACTTGGTGCTGAACAGAGTGATGTAGTCTGAAACGAAAGGCAGAGTGAGGACCAGCAGCCAGCTGCGAGGAGGAGTGTCCCGGCCAGTGCCAGCCAACCCCCGGCGAGGGCCAGGGCAGTGGGAAACCCAACGGGTTACTTGTCATCTTGCAGACAAAACAGTTACAAGATTTGTTTTTTCCTTTTCCATTAAGAACTGGAATCGTGCAGGATGAGGCTTAGTTAGCACCCTGTGCCTGTTTGACTTGCGAGCACTTTCTCAAACTCTCATTCACTTTCTGCAGCTGAGCTTCTCCTCCGTCTCTGTCCCCTTAGAGCCAGGCAGACAGTCACAGAAAAAGGAAAAAATTTCTCAGCAACTCTGCTTATTTCGGAAGAATGAGAGCCCTTAACATTTTTAATAGCTATAGACTGTTCTTTGCTTGGTCATTCTTCTGTTATTGGGCATTTGTTTTCATAGCAAATTTTCACTACTGGAAACAATAATAATAACAAATATTATTTGTATAATGCTTTATAGTTTACCAAGCATTCTCAGTAGATGACACTATTTACTGATATCTCAGTGTCAAAGTCTTTGTACTCCCAGCTCAGTGCCTGGTACACATATGTGTTGAATGAATGAGTGAATGGATGAATTAATGAATCAATAAATCAATGAATGAAGTTAACCTTTGTGAAATCCCTCGAAGTCTGAACTATCATTGTTTTTCTGTTTGGTTTGGTTTGACTTTGTGGTTGAGGAAACGGGATCAAAGAGGGAAGGGCCTCGCCAGAGTGCACGGCTGAGACCCAGGGCCAGGCCCTGTGCCCCTCGGCCACAGGAGCCGGGGGCTCTGGGATCGGGCGGCAGCCCCACTGCGCACTGGGGCACTCTCCCAGGTTCTCTAGAAAACCCTGACGGCTGCTACGAAGCCTTCGTTTCCCCAGAGCTGTCTCCACAGCGCTGCCCTGTGGCTTTTCCTTTCGGCGGCTTTCTGGACAGTAGCCTGTGGACAGTAGCCATGGGGGTTATGACTTTGGGTGCTGAAGAAAGAGTGAGCCGGGTTCAAATTCCAGCTTTATTAAGGAATTGTTCAAACCTGAGGTAAGTTGCCTGACCCCTCAGTGCCTCTACTTTCTCATCTATATAGTGGGAATAACTACAGCACCTAACTTGTGGCATTGTTATAAGAATAAGTAAGATCATGTATGTGAAGGACTTGGCACAAAGTCTCAAAATGTTGGCTCTAATTTTGAGTGTCTTTGTGAGTGATGAGAGGAGGGGAGGGAAGCGGTCCCGCTATTAGTCCGCTGTTAGTGCTTCTCTGCGTGTCTTGTTTGATCTTAACAGCAGCTCTGAGAACAAGCACGATTCCGTTAAAGACCAGGAGTCTGGCTGCAGAGGTCCCGCCACAGTGAGGAGCGCGGCGGACTGACCCCGCTCCATGGCTGCCGGCTGTCTCCAGTGACTATCTGCCACTGAGCTTCGGTAAGTTCCACCTCTTGCATATTTTCCAATGTACAGTTTCCCTTTGGGGTTTAATTTAGTTTGACATGCAAATGCTTTTACATATATTGCAGTCTGTCAACCTTGTTTCTGGCCAAACATTTAATTTGTTCAGTAGACAGAAATCTATCACCACACCAGAACTAGGAAAACATTATTCTGCTTCCTTCAGGAACACAGCAGGTTATGGTTCACTCTCTGCACTGTAGGAAATTATCAATGTGGGCTGAGAAACAGGGCTATAGGCCCCCATCTCCAAGCCCTGCACCCACTTACTCCTGTTGGCCTCCAGATGCCCTGGGCTCTGCCCTCCGCCTCCACGCCTCCGCATGGACCAGGACCAGGCTGCCTCACTTTGTCTGCCTGGACCCCTGACATTCTTTGGGCCATGCCTTCCTTCTGGGGAGTCGTCATCCCCAAACCCACCAAGAAATATGAGATGGCCTCTGGAGGCTTCTCCTGGGCTTCCCTTCCTATTCACTCACTCACTCATTTATTCATTCATCTCTTAACTGTCCACTGATGTGTTGGCATCTCATAGATGATGGGTCTTCTTGAGGTGTTTGAGCGCAGAGCTCCCCCGCCCCATGCTTAGCATTTTGCACAGGAACTGGCACACATTTGATGGATAAATGGTTAAAAAAAAACCATATTAAATAGTAATTCCTGATCCCCACCTAACCACTCCCCTGCCGGCCTGATTGCCCCCAACTGCCCTCCCCTGCCAACCTGATCATCCCAACTGCCCTCCTGTGCCGACCTGATTGCCCCCTAACTGCTTGTTCCCCTGCACCAGCCTGATCTCACCCCTAACTGCTTGCTCCCCAGCACCAGCCTAATCTTGCCCCAACTGCTTTCTCCCTTGCTGGCCTGATTGCCCCTAACAGCCCCTCCCTCGGCCCCTGCCACTGTGGCTTTGTCCAGAAGGAAGTCAGACTTTGGGAAGATGTCTGGTTGATCTGGTCTAATTAGCATATTACCCTTTTATTAGTATAGATAGCACTGGAAGTCCTCACCACAGCAATCAGACAAGAAAAAGAAATAAAAGGCATCCAAATTGGAAAGAAGGATGTAAAACTCATTATTTGCAGATAACATGATATTGTACACAGAAAACCCTAAGGACCACCAAAAAAACTATTAGATTTAATAAATCAATTTGGCAATATAGCAGGATAAAAAATTAACACCCAGAAATCAATGGCATTTTTATACACCGACTAGAGGTCCAGTGCACAAAATTCGTGCATGGGGCAGTTGGT